ATATACTAATAATAATAATTAAATAATAACTAAAAATAACTAATAATAAAATAAAATAAAATAATCGTTCTATAACAGTAGTTAAAGAGGGATTGAGATGATGAGGACTAATGGTATTAGGATTAAAAGACCAAATGCCTGTAGTTCTAAAAATATTAAATATCATTATAAAGGTATAAGTCTTGATAAACATGGAACCAAGCATTTTAGCAAATATGTACTTAGTCACCAATTCGCCAATTATATGATGAAGTTGATCACAATTTTTACTATATTTGGTTTTAAGTTTGGCGAAAGAAAGTTCTGATGGCTGAAGAATATGTGTTGTATAGGATGGCAATACATATAGTAAAATTCCATTTTCATGACAAAAATTAATGCTCATATAATTTATATGACTGCTGTGACCGTTAAGCATTAAAAGAACAGAATAACAAGGAGAAATAGAACTTATAAAATGTTTAATATACATTTGGAAGAGTTCTTCACACATATATCCTGAGTTAGTAAAGCCTATAACCATATCAGATGAAGCACCATTTAACAAACCAGAAATTGCATGAATGCCCTTGTATATAATTAATGGAAGGATATAATCATCAGCAGCTAAAATTGTTGGTGCAACTGAAATATGATCATGAGAATTACCATGTACAATCTTATGAACTTGACAGATGCCTTTTTCTGCAAGAACTTTTTGAACCTTAGGAGCTATAATGAAGCTGGTTTCATTCATGTTTCAAATACAGTTTGGAGTAAGTGAATTATTTAAATTATTTTATATAATTTATCAAAATAATTTTTAATAATAATTGGATTCACTCTTTAAGCACATGCCTCTAATAAGGCTTAAAGAATTCAAAAAGATAGATCGAGATGATCTTTTATAAAACATGCCCACCAGACCTTGCCAGGACCATTGTCTTTAAAAGGATGTTCACAACTATCACTCTTCACAATACTCATCACACAGGTGTTTACTCCTGATCTTGTAAGACCAAATTCTAGGCTTTACATGTTTTTGTAATAGTCTACTAATTGTTCTTCTTCATAGCTACTCAAGACTGTCATGAAACTGGAGTGGTTAGGTAAACAATCTTTTTTCATTGCATGCCTTAGAATTGCTTCTGCAATACCAAAACTTGATGCAGCTGCTTGTATACTAGGTGGTTTAGGACTAGCAGGTGTTTTAAGAGCTAACTTGATAGCTCTTATATGTGTATCTCGAGTAACTTTTTTAGTTTTTAAGAAATTGGAGTTTATGTTATGTTTTGTTATTTTTTTGGAGAAGGTTTTTTTTTTACTTATTTTTTATTTTTTTTTTTTGAACAAAATTATAGCAACTTTTATACTTTTGATGTTTATAACTCATTTGTATGATGATTGTCTGCAATTATGATCATGGTCATAATTATTTGCAATTACGATCATAGTTACGATTGTCTGCAATTATGATTATGATCATAATTGTATGCAATCATAATCATGATCATGATTGTTTACAATCACAAGCATAATTGTTTTTGTTCTATACAATTGTAATTTTTGAAACATAATCAAGATTATATATTTAAACAATAAAGTATTAATAAAATCAAATGAAATTGTGAAATTTAAGTTAAATCTAACTAAACTTGTAAGGTTAGCAAATTGTATTGATTGTTAACCAAATTTGTAATTTTAAACAAACAATGTTCTTTAATATAAATCGAATTAAAAACACTTTTCAAAACATTAAAAATTTGCAATATGCTATACTATTTCGATTTACAAGATGAAGAAGCAAATGATTCAATCCTAAACCTTTGTAATAATTTAATGCAGAACACTTATAACATGGCTAAGCAGAACACTTATAACATGACTGAGTTTAAAGAACATACACATTATATGCTTCCACTTTTTTATGAGCAATTGAGAAACATTATATGATATTTTTTAGGCCTTATCATTACAGACACAATCATTGAATCAATTGATGATTATTATGCTCATATTAGTCAATACAATTGAATCAAAGATTTTATTATTTGTTTTGGTGATGCTATTTATTATTTTAAATATCTAATGAAGATGGATTATATGCTTTCAATGGATAGAGAATTTAGTAAAGCTGCAAGTGGTAGCGGTTTTGATGAAGTAAATAAGTATCGATTTACCATGAAAGAATTGGAAATGTGTAAATTTGCCAAGTTGTTTTTTAAAATTGAAGAATGCAATTCTAATTTTCAAAAATTTTATCAAGATTGTCATGAGTCGCATGGGAACAATTTGTATAAAATTAATCTTGATCTTGATGTCAGATCTTCGTCAAGAAATTAATAAATTTACCATTACATAAGTTAATGATAATTATTGTACTGACTAACTAAATTAATCGCATCGGATCGACATCGGATTAAATTTTTGGGCCCGGTAACTAAAATATTAATATATATATATTTTTTTGATTATATATTGTTTTCTTGTGCTTCAATAAAGCGAATTTAACACCATTCGATTCGTCTCGGTAAGACGAATCGAATGGTGCTAAAATTGATCGATTCTGATCGGTGTATCGCAGTATATCATCAAAAAATACAAGTGCGTCATATTACCCACCTGCGTCATAATACCCCACTTCACCTTATGTGAAATAATTTACAGGTTTTCCTCAAATATCAATACACCACAACTTAAAATTTAATTATTGAGACTGCCCTATAACCCAGATCACAAACGTTTATCTTAAATTTGACACAAATAAGATCTCTTGCACCTCATATAACATGCTTTTAATTGTCGCTTATACTATACTGGGCTGCTCACCCATATTATACACCTTTTTTCTAGCTCTGCTCTTAACTAATTTCTAATTATTTGAATCCGGAAGCGAAGCGACAGGTTATATACTAGTTGAGACGTAAAAGTTAAAATTAACCAATCACAAGAAAGTTATCCTATAGAGGTATACGTAGTATAGTTTCAGGATTAAATACTGTATTTCGCCACATAGAGTACTTCCCTGATTCGCTCAAAGTCACATTTCATTGATTTAGCCAATCAGATTAAATCCCGCTTAGCAGTAACAGAATTATAGTAATGCAGGCCAAACCAGAATTTTTGCTATATAGCAGTTATGTAAGTTCGATAAGATTTATTTAAGTTTTTTGCGAATACAAATGGACGCCTCGAAGACCCTGGTTGTTGATAACGGCACTGGGGTGAGTTAAAGGTGTATTTGCTCTTGTACATAAATAGTCATCATGCGTTTAGCCCGTTGTGAATCCTTTCTATTTTCGTAGTTTGTAAAGGTCGGCTATGCTGGATCTAATTTTCCACAACATGTGTTCCCTTCCGTTGTTGGACGACCTATTCTTCGTGCAGAGGAAAAGGTTGGGAATGTGGAGATCAAAAATATTATGGTTGGTGATGAAGCAGCTGAACTCCGTTCGATGCTTCAAATGTCATATCCAATGGAAAATGGTATCATAAAGATATGGGAGGATATGAAACATTTGTGGGATTATACCTTCAATGAAAAATTGAAAGTGGATCCTAAGGACTGTAAAATTTTACTGACCGAACCGCCAATGAATCCAACAAGTAATAGGCAGGAAATGGTGCGATTGATGTTTGAAGAGTACGGATTCCAAGGAGTTTATGTTTCTATTCAGGCCGTATTAACGCTTTATGCTCAAGGTGATTTTTTCAATTGCATTTTTACGGATTTATGTTTTGCTTTGCTGAACTTATTTCACTTTTATAATTGGACAAAGGTCTTCTTACCGGAGTAGTAGTCGACTCCGGTGATGGTGTAACTCATATTGTTCCCATTTTCGATGGTTACGCACTCCCACATCAAACACGTCGATTAGATGTTGCTGGACGAGATGTGACGCGTTATCTTATAAAATTGCTTTTATTGAGAGGTTATGCTTTTAATAGAACAGCTGATTTTGAGACTGTAAGACAAATTAAGGAAAAACTTTGTTATGTAAGGTACTGAAATACCAAGTTGTCTTTAATGGGCTTATCTTTGTTCCTTTTTATTGATCAAACATACACACTTTTAATAAGTTATGACATTCCATTGGACCAAAAATTGGCAACCGAAACTACAGTACTCGTGGAGAATTATACGGTAGGTCATATATCTTAAAGAAATGGATGTCTTTGATTATTTAAAAGTAGTGTTGCTAAAAGAACCCATTTTACTAGTTACCTGATGGTCGTGTTATCAAAGTGGGCTCTGAGCGATTTGAGGCGCCTGAATGCATGTTTCAGCCGCATTTAATTGATGTAGAAAAGCCCGGTGTTGCGGGTATTTTTAAATGTTATTTATAATTTTCCAATTGCACATTATAATTATTGCTATTTGCTTATGTGTATTTCTCTTTTCCTCATCACAATTAAGAAATGCTTTTTGAAACTATCCAAGATGCCGCAGTTGATATTCGTCCAGAATTATATCGACACATCGTTTTATCGGGTGGCTCATCGATGTATCCCGGGCTGCCAAGTCGCCTAGAAAAGGAACTCAAGCAATTATATTTAAAAAGAGTTGCACAGGGCGATATTTCAAGATTAAAGGTAAGAAAAAACTGTGTATTAATGCTGTAATTTGCAGTGGATGATTAAACGTAATCTGCAATCTATTGAACCTTATCAGAAATTAAAAATCCGAATTGAGGATCCACCGAGGCGTAAGCATATGGTATTTCTTGGTGGTGCAGTTCTAGCTAATATAATGAAGGATAAACAGTCTTGGTGGGTTACTAAGCAAGAATGGGAGGAAGAAGGTGTAAAATGCCTGGAAAAACTAGGAACCCACGGATCAGTCTGATGAACAGTTGACCCACCTTTTACTGAACCCTAGTATAACGAACTAATAAATAACTTGTATTTATTTACCCTGAACATAAAACATTATATATATAATAAATTTACTATACCACATCCGAACTAATTGGTTAGTGCATATAGTCTGCCATGTATATCAATCATATGGGCTAACCTGTTGAATAGAATTTTAGTGTCAAAATTTTTGATGATAAAACAGGCTATTTGACTTTATAATTTTCTTAGACGCAGGTACAGTTGTCTCTTGATATAACATCGGGAACGTTATATAAATAGATATATATCAATTATTAATCAACCAGATATATAGCGATAATAATCACCCTTGCTAAGTTTCATCAATTATGATTATAATTGCTATATAGCCAATTAATATATTCATTGATTTTTATCATTTTTGATACAGGTTTTGCATACCAACTTCGTACAAACTGACAGTCAAATTCGTACAAATTGACACCTATATTAATCAATATATAGTTAATATAAACAGTTTATGTTGAATATATTAAAATAATATCAAATTGATTAAAATAAATATATTATTGTACATATTATATATTATAAGTTGGAACCTAAATTATTGAATTTATTAAATCAAATATTAAGATGAGTACTTGCAATTTAGAATTTTATTGTAGTATATTCAACTAATGATTGCATTACAATTACAGAAGGTAATCATAAAAAAAGTATACAATTAGTCATTTGTATAACTTTAATTATTGTAGTTATTTAAAGGTTTTATACTAGTTATCATATCTGGAACCTGCTTATAAGTTCTTTACTTAAATATTCTAGTTTTTGTTTTTATCTGTCTATTTATATCTATTAATAATTCTGATTGATATTAGTAAAATATATCATAGTTACTAAGTTTTTAAAACAGTTCACTTATATAAAGAAGCTTTAATCTTATATTAAACTTTTCAGGATCTTCTATATTTTATTCTTATAGTTGATTATAATAATATTATACTTAAACTACTAATTTGATTAATATTAAACCCTTTGACTAACTGATCAAATTGGTCAAACTGGTCTAGTTAAGCTTGATATTGACCAGTTTATGCTAACTCTAAATGCAATATATTAAAAACAATTTACTATATAATTAATAGTCTAATAAGTATATAATTTAAAAAAACAATGCTGAATTACTTAATATATAGTATACTGATCAGTTGTATATTTTTTAAAAAGTAATTATTTTATATAATTATTTATTTTATTAATATTGGTCATCTTATTAAACATGATACACTAACTTGATATATTTGAATTAAAATATAATTATATAAAATTTTATATATTAACTTGTAATTAAATATATATATTTAATATTTAAAGATTTATAGAATATATTTATAAAAAAAAATTAAATTAATTTTTGATTATAAGGTAAGTATTCCTATTTTGACGCAGCTAATCTTTTACAATAGCAAGTCTTTATTGAATTGGTGTAAAACACCTGAATTTCTTTTGAATTTGATTTATTTCGATTTAAAGTAAGCATTTGTATAAAAATTTTTTTTCAAATAAAAAAAAAGTAAATCCTAATTATAGTAACATAGATCCTTTCAAAATCACGATCATCAAGAGATCGCCCTAATTTGACGCACTGAAATAAGGTTGGTAAATTTTTTTTTTTTTTTTTTTAAATCGATTTATACTTACTTTTCTGCCCCTATACGCTCTATATTTTTTTTTTTCCTCCGTGCTTCTTGCTTCTGTGCCTTTTCGGCTTCACGTGCTGTTCGCTTTTGAATAGCTGCTTCTTTTTTATGTTGCTTCTCGTTAACCATTCTTTCAGCCTCCTTCTCCACTTCTTTTAATTGTTTTAATGATTCTTCATTGGTCAGAAGCTGAGAAAAGTGCATAGTTTTCCTTTTTTTTCTTTTTGGAGATTGGGCTCCAGATTGCTCTTTGTCATCTTCTGGATCTTCAGTTGGTAGGTTGGGGCGTAAGGGATATTTAAGTATCTTTCACAAAGGACTTGTACCAGGGTTATTGAGGGTTTCAAGTTCTTCTTCCAATCATTCAACCCTCTTATTTAGCAACCTAATTTCTGACAATAGCTCTTTTTTAGTAGGGTTTGCTTTGGTGAGGCATGTATAAGTTGGAGCTAACTCTGAAGTTCGTGAAGACAAGAAAGATTGTGATGAAGACGAGGAAGACTGTGATGATGATAAAGGTGAAGACGAGGAGGACTGTAATGATGATAATGAAGATAAGGAAGCTGATTGCTCAAGGACTTGTGGAATATTGGTATGTAATGAAGGATCTAGACGATCAGGACCAATTGCACTAGGGTTTAATAGCCAAATTCCAGTGGTCTTGAAGGCATTGCATATTGCAGTAGGCATATAGGCTGCAATATGGAATGGTCCTAATAATTCAGCGAACATGTACTTTGTTACAACCTTACCATTGTTGTTAGTTCGAAACCTCTCACACTCTTTATCATATGCTTTCTTTAATGTAGCAAATGGTAATTTGGCTGGCTATAGAATGTGAGTGGTATGGGGGGAAGAGCGTAAAGAAGAATATCATGCTCATGACAAAAGTTAACACTAATGTAGTTGACATGACTTTTGTGACTGTCTAGAATTAACAAAATAGGACGTATAGGCAGGATAGAACTAACAAAATGCTCAATATATTTTTGAAATAGGCTTTTCTGCATGTATCCTGTTTTAGTAAATCCCATGACAGAACCAGCAGGTGCACCGTTTAGAAGACCCAAAATTATTCGTTTTCATTTAAAAATAAGCAATGGTGGGATGTATGTTCCCGCTGCTGATATAGTTGGGTATACTGAAATATGCTCATGAGAGCTGCTGTATGAAACCTGATGGACTTGGCATGCTCCTTTTTTTGCTATAACTTTTTGGAGTCTAGGTTTGATGATAAATCTGGTTTCGTCCTAAAAAAAAAAAAAAAGGCTGAAATACAAAATAATTTAAAAAAAAAAAAAAAAGCAAAAAAAAAAAAAAAAAAAAAAAAAAAAAAAAAAAAAAAAAAAAAAAAAAAAAAAAAAAAAAAAAGAAATACATAAAAATCTTTGAGAATCAATCATTACACTTGACATGACATCTAAGTATTTTAGATACTTCAACTACTTTGCAAATCACAATGATTTGGAAATCTCGCTCAACAGAAAGTAATAGAAAGGTGTTTATATTTCTAAAAGATTCAGTACATCTATAAATAAGTTTAAGACAAAGACTCTATTCAAAGAAGTTGCTAAAAATGAGAATGAAAATAACTATTACAGATTTAAAGTATAGTTTTGATACATGATACTTTCTGAAGATTATAATGAAAATATGACCAAGAAATTTATTAATTACTTAGAATTAGTTGGTAAAAAAGAAGAAAGTGCAACTGCATTTTACACATTGAGTTTGATTTATTATACTGATCAAAAGTTTAAAGATGATGAAAAGGGTAGAAGATACTTAATTATAGCTGCACAAAAAGGTAATGAAGATGCAATCAAGAAATGTGAAGAATATGATATAAAGTACTTGAACCTCTGAAATAATATTTTTTTAGTTTATAGTTTAGGTTTATTTAGCTAGAAATACAAATAAAATATATGTTTATTCTTCAACTACTTTTGGTACTAGGTAGTAGTGAATATAATTTTGTTCCTCTGCATATTTAATAATAATTGGAAAGTTACTTTCTAAACAAATTTGTACTCATGTTGATAAAGAAGATACTTTTATGAACATTAATAAAAATTTAGGTAAAAATAAATCATCTATATTATTTTTTGATTTAATATTGATCTTATCATCAAATTCATCTGTTTTTTATTTAAAGTACTGATACATTTATTATTAAAGTTACCTGTTGAAGTAAATTTAACTGTTTCAATATTTTGTTTTACAATTATTCTTACTGTTTTATTTACAATCATTTGGTCTAAGAATATTTTCTTTAATTCAACAGAAGGTATATTAATAATCACACTGTAGTTAGTAGGTGGAATACTGATCCTTTTCTGGTCGATATTTAGTAATCAAATTTCATATTCAGTTTTACTAGTATCATCAGAACTCTTGTATAAAACACTTAGAAAATCTGGATTTCATAGTCTAAGTATAAGAGTATCATTATTCTTCACATAACTAAGTATCTTGTTTAGATAATCAAGATTTATGCCAATAATTTTATCCTTGTTATAAACATATTTTTTGAAACTTTCTTTATCAAGATGAACAGAAATAAGTGCAATATATAATGAATCCATACTTGAAAAGTTAATACCAGATTCTGTAAACTCGATGTTAACATCAGTAACAAGCTTTCTTGTTGCATCGATGACATGTTTAAACAATGATATATTAGCAAAAGTTGCTTCAAACATTTTATAAATTAACTTAAATTTAGAATTACTTTATTTATATATTTCATAGAGTTATATAATATTTTCAAATTTATTTAGATTATCTAAAAATCTTTTCCTACATCTGAGTTTTACATGCAAAAAGACTAATTCTGTTTAAATTACCTCATAACAAGTGTTACATTAATACATATTTTGCATATTATATTGGTTAAAATGATGATTTACAATTTGGTGTCATAACCAAATAAGGGTAATCTCTACTTTTTAACAGTAGTAGGTCTCTTGAAAATCTTTTTAACTATTTTGGATTTCTTTTTCGAAATAGTATTCTTAGGTTTAGATTTCAACTCTTTTATTTCATTTGTTTAAACAGTAGGTTTCATAATTGGTTTCTTAACAACTTGAGTTTGAGATCTATCTTGTAATAATTTAATTATAAACTTTTTTGTCTTAATAAATATATCCCAATCTGTTTTATAGGTATCTAAGTAGTGTTTCTTCATAGTTAAAAGTTTTGGATTAATTTAAAATTTATAATTGCATACAACATATTTTTTTTCATAAAAATATTCTCTATTGGGTATTTTTTATTTGGAGTTCTGCCTTTAATAAATTTATGTTTATGAATACTAAGCCATTTATCATTATATTTATTAATAAAATGTCTCTTTATAAAAGTGATACCACTATTGTATTTGATCTTATGATTACATATATTGCAAGTTTTTTTATCAAAATAGGATACAGCTGAATGTTTCTGCAATTTGGACATTATCATAATCAATTTTCAATACATTTTTACTTGGTTATTTATAGATATTTTATTATGTATAAATTTATAAAGATACAATTAAATAAAATAAAGAAATGATTGACACCCATACACTGCAGACCAAATATAGTTAATAAGACTATTCAATAGTTAACTTTAGCATTCAACTTAATATTAACAAATACATTAACATCAGTTCCAATATTAAAGTTAACTATCGACTGATCTAACTACTCCAGTCTGGCAGTGTATAAGTGTCAATCTACAATTTTAATTATTGATAACTACAATCTATTTTGAGATGGCCATATTCATTACAATTTCAATATTGAATATCTGGGCAGTTTCATTTAATATGTTCAGACTTCTTACAGTTGTAACAGTATTTTGTCCTTTTTGAGATATATAATTTTGCATTATCATGAATTTTATTACAATGTTCACATAGTTTCTTTCTTAGATCAATAAACTTCAGTATAGTTATTATTGCATTTGGCTTGGTAGAATGTAGTTTTACTTTGAGAAATACAATCTTAAGATTACTGCTAATGACTCCTTGGCATATTTTTAAGTATTTTTGAAATGCATCTTCATCATACTTATTACAATAGAATGAATATTTGGCCCAGTTTTCTACTTCATCATTATTTTTAAATCTTGATGAATATACTAATGCACATCAGAATATACATCTGCAAAAGTTTACAAATAATTTGCAAGAAACACAGCATGTGTGTGAACTGACTTGTAAACATCATGAGCATATCCTATAATGCCAATAGAATTTGGTATATTCTTGGTTGAAGTAACGATTATTGCATTTTTAATAGAAATATCTGGGTTCAATGATATTATTTTGTGTAAGATAGTTTCTGATTAGAGTAAACTTTCTTGGCAAAGTTTCTTGATAACTAGAATCACTTGAATAGGAACTTTCACTTCTTGAAGTACTTTTATATTTTTCTTCACATATCATTTGAAGTAAATCAAAAGCATCTTTTAATAATATATATCTTGAAAGTTCATGAAGATTAATATTCATAGAAGACATTTTTTTATTGCTTTAATTAATAAAGTAGATGTTTATTTATAAAACCCAGAATTGGTACAAGAATTCAAGAAAGGAAATCTGATAACATATTTATTTATGTAATATATATTTTTTATAAAAATAACATATTATCTAAAACTGTATTTAATTTTCTTATTATCTAATATTTTTCTTATAAGATCTGAATTGTTAAGAATAATTTTTACTGTAGTGCCAAGATAAACAATTTTATAAGGCAAAATAGATTTAGAGAATTTTGAAATAAGATCATTGAATACTTCTATCTTAATTTCAAAATGTAAAAAACTTTGTATAACATAATAATCACATACTCATTTAATCTTAAATGTTTTAATATTCTTATTTTTTTTTATAGTAGAATGGAATTTAACTAATCCTATTTTTGTATAAACAGTAAGACTTGAAACTTTTAGTTTTAACCAAAATTCTTTATCATATTTAATCTCATCAAGAATAAGCTTTTCAAGAAATAGAAAATACTAAATGAGATTCTTGCATTGATTATTTACTTTTAGTTTAGTGATAATATTATTGGTTTCAATAATAAAATAATCCTCAATTCAAAGCATATCAATTTTGAATTTTAAAATCATCTTATTGGCTAGGTTCTTAATAGACTTAAAAACTATATTAAAAAATATATAGTCAATTGTAGAAGTAATATGAAGAATTTTTATTTTTTTTAATTAAGAATCATTATCAATAATTCACATGTTTGGATATTTAATCCTTCAAAATTAATAGTAAGTTGTTTCAAGATTGTTGATTCTGAAACAACTTTAATAAAAAGCTCATTAGAAACAACATATACATCATTTGTTTTAATAAATGAATTACACAACTTAAGAATAAATGAATAATTAATATATTATATAAATTTTAGATAGTTAATTACTGGCTTTTTCATAAGCTTATCATTTTCAATTTCTAGATTGTTTGAAATAATTTCTCTACTTTTGTTACTTAGAGATCCAAAGAAAATATGTACAACTTCTTTCAAAATCTGTTTAGCTTTTTTATTTCCATTTATTTCTAATACTAAATAGAATTTTACAAAAAAATCTTGTTACATTCTTTGGGCAACAAGATAAAAATAAACTTCTTAATGCATAGAATATCATAAAGATTATTGAATTTGATATTATCAACAATCATTTCTATTATTTCAATTGAAATATCATTGTTGAATTTGTGTTAAAATAATCTGTAATTATAGTCATTTAAATAGTTTTTAATATAATACATTTTACAAAACAGTATAAATCTTTTATTAATAAATGATAAGTCTTTCTGTAAATCC